ACACAAGAATGATCATAGCTGGAAGATATGGGGAAGTGGTTTTCTCTTAGTATCACAGAAAACACCTCTAACCAAGGAGTGGACTTCATCTAACAGTAAGCTCCCCACATCCACAAATATTGAAGCATCAACTGGGTGAGCTCTTGTCAGAGAGAGCACAGATGGAATTCATTTTCTGCACTTGGATCTGGTCTAGGTGCATGGCTTCCAAAACATTTTTGGCCAAGGAAGTCTGTATGGGTAAAACGTGCATGGGTGAAACATTTGACTGAAGGAGAGGTGGAAGTCCTTAGCCCTGCTTTCTTGCCCTTGATGGGGATTCCAAATTGGTTCCTAGGAGCCCTTAGAGATGGAGTAATCTCTCTAAGGTGCCCTTTCAGCTTGGCCCCTCCATTGTTTTGCTACTAACAATGTCAGCAGCTTGTGCAAATCAATAGATAAGAAGAAATATAATGTTTTTAATGGGAAGAAGCATGCATTTCCTCTGGGGGTTCAAGAATATTAAATGTGTTCTGCAATACAGAAGATACTCCAAAGATGGACCCATCGATCCTTCCGCTTTCTACATGCATGGTATTACCCCAGTGAGCTGGGGGGTTTACACCCCCTTCCTCCGGATCTAGGCTGACCCTTGATCAACACAGTGTGATAGAAAAAGTGTTCAGGGACTTCCAAGCCCAGGCCTTCTGAGGACTGGCAGTTTCTGCTTTCTTCCTCTTGGAACTTTTGCTTCTTAAAAACCAGCTACCATGTTCTGAGAAGCCCAAGCAGCCATGAGGAAAAGCCCATAAGGAAAACTGAGGGGCCAGAGACAAGTGCCAACGACAGCCATGTAAGCAAGGCCGCTTTGGACCCGCCCACCATCCTAGTGCCCCAGAGAAACCAGGTGGTCAACCCACAGACTTAAGGGCAAGAACCAATGATTGTTGTAAACCACTTTGTTTCAGGGTAGTTTGACATCCACTGAGAAGTCCCCAAAACGGCTGGAAGAATTACTTGTACATTTGAAAGCCGCAGGTTTCTGAGGGCTCCAAAACACAGGCAGAAAGAACTCAGGCAAGCAGGAGCAACTGTGTGTTCCCAGGGTGTTAGTGCAGACAGCACTGGGGCCACAGAGAGTTGAGCTCCTGGAACATTCATCCACATCGAAGCAGAAAATCAAAAGGATGAAGGATGTGAGGCTACAGCAGCCGTTCAGAGCCCCAGCACTGACTAAAGCCAGTGGGTTTCCTTCTTAAACACACTTCATCATCAGGAGAAGGAAGCATCCAGGGGCACGTTTATGCCAACCTTCTGATGAGGCTCCTCATGGCCCAGGATAAAGTGCACACTCCTCATTAGAACATATGAGACCCTGAGAGCCTGTTCCCAGCCGAGCTCATCTTTTGCTTCTAAGCCCTTCATAATTCATGGTCCAGATTCCTTGGGTTCCCTCAGCCTCAAACTCATTGCTCACCGCTTACACTGATGAATCCCAGTTCCTCTCCAAGGAATCGCTGTGTCAGACCGGAGGGGTGGACAGCATGGGCGTCATGAGCTCAAAGCCCGGCTCTGCCGCCTTGTAGGCTGTGTGTTGCCAGGTGCCGTGAAGGGAGGTACCGCCCCCTAGGGTCACATGCTGAAGCTCTACCGCGCAATGGGATGGCATTTGGATACAGAATCTTTGGAAGATCTTTAGGTTTAGATGAGGTCTGAGGGTGGGGCCCTTATGATGAGATGAGTGTCCTTACAAGGAGGGGAAGAAACACAGGAGCTCTCTCTGCCGTGTGAGGATACAGCAAGAAGGCAGCTGTCTGTGAGCCAGGAAGACAGCTCTTTCCAGAGCCCTGCCGTGCTGGCACCCTGACCTCAGACTCCCAGCCCCCAGGACTGTGAGATAATAAATTTCTGTTGTTTTAAGCCACCCAGGCTATGGTGCTTTGTTACGGCAGCCTGAGCTGACTAATACACTGGACAAGAGAATTCATCTCTGTGAGTCCCCACTTCTTCATCTGGGAAATGGAAATAATAATATAACCCCCCTCACAGGGCTGTTCAGAGGATTAAGTAAGATGACACAGTACCTGTAAACACTCAGAACAGAACCTGGGATGTGACAAGAACCACGTAAGTATTTCTTCACTAAATTTTAAAATAATTAACTGCAAACAGGTTGCACTTTTTTTATGGCAGGCGTTGAGGAAGACCCTTTACATGTATCCACTCAACAAATGCTCATTGTAGCCCTTTGAGGTGCAAACTAATGTTTTCAATTTTTCAGAGAAGGAAAGTGAGGCTTCAAAACCATGCCAGGTCAAAAATGGGAAAAAAAATTGTGCAGTCACATAGCTTATGAAAGGCACAACCAGGATTTAAATACAGGTTCCACTTGTCTCTGGAACTTTTAGAGGACAGATTTCCAGACTATCTGAAGTCTCAGAGTCTGAGAATTTGATGATTACATTGATATATGCCCTGCACAAGTCCACCCTGAGTTACCAGGGGCTTCAGCCCCACTCAGAGGCAGAAGAGCATGGCGGCTGGGAGCCTAGGGTCGGAAGTCACACTAGGAACGGTTCAGTCCTAACTGTCCTGTTTCCTATTTGACCTTGGGAGAGGTGATTCCACCACAGTGGAGGCTCAGTGTCCCCATCTGTAAAATGGGTATAATAAAACATCACTGGTACCATCAAGCTTTTGGGAGAACTCATGAGCTACATACGGAAGAGCTCAGTGCAATGCCTGGGATCCTGCCTCCAGGCCCTTGTGCCTGCTGTTCCCCCCTCCTGGAACCTCGGTCCCCAGATACCCAATATCTCGCTCCCTTCAGATCTTCTCTCAAATACCAGCTTCTGAGCACGGCCTTTCCCTGCCACTCTCTTACGAGGGGAACCACACCCCCAGCACTCCCTACCCGCCTTTCCTGCCTTCTCTGCCTCCATCTGTCTTAACTGTCCCTGACACACAGTATGTTCATGCAGTTATTTTTTTGTTATCTGTCTCCACCAACACTAGATAATAAGTTCCAGGAGAGCAAACATCTTGTCTGTGTTACTCACTGCTGTATCCTCCATCCATAGAATAGTGCCTGGTACTCAAGAAGTGATTGTTGAATGAGTGCATGCCTGAATGATCACTGGCCTCAGCTTTGCAGATGAGGGCTTTGAACTCGGCTGAGACCCTCCTCCACTCCTCCCCCACCACTGCTGTCTTTGCAAGCAGATGGGACTTGATTGCCCAACAGACCCCTGCACCTACCTTCACATGTCCCTCCTGGGCCCTGAAAACTCATTTTTCCATTGCTGGATCCATATCCTGGGTTGCAAACACAGGAATAGCTCCCTAAACGGTTGTGGCAAGTCGCATGCACTGGGCACGTTCTGGGATTGGCGCACTCATTCATATCTGGTGAGAGTAAATGGAACCCCGGGTCAAGGCGGAGGGTGCAGGGAGGACAGGAGACCGCCCGTTCTTGCCAATGGCGCCAGTTCTGATGCCCCCGGCACCCATGCTTCCCCTTCTTCCTAATCTCCTTCGCAGCTAGGCTTGGCCACAGCGGTAAATTCTGTAGGACAGGACTTTTAGCAGGATCTCTGGTCTCTGCCCACCAGAGGACAGCAGCGCACAAACAACCTCAACACCAGTGTCTCCAGACATTGCTAATATCCCCACCTGGGGAATCACTCTAGGGAGAGAGCCCCCTGTTACTCTTCATACTGCAGGACCCACTTCTTAACTCATAGTAGACTCTCAACAGGAGTTCAAAGCCAGGTTCTTCCACTTAATAGCTGTGCACCCTCGGGCAAGTGACTTTGTCTCCCTGAGCCTCAATTTTACCATTCCTGAAACAAGGATCATAATCCCTATCACATAGGATCATCAAATGAGGTAATTCTTAATAAATCAAGTAGGTAACTAAAGAAGACCAGGTCCGCTATACCTTCACAGATGGAGTTGTTGGAGATGAATCCAACTTGTCAACTGCACCTGTGGCTTCCAAAAGAGTTAGTACACTTAGAACGCTCTGGGCAGACCCAGCTGTAGAGGCATTCGTTACTGTCTGACAGCAGCAGAGGAGAGTGAGCAGGTAAAAGCCTGAGTGTCTAAGGTTAGCGATACATGCACCCAGCCCAGTGGGAGCTGTCCAACAGAGCCCCGTGCTGAGACCCCGAGAGCATTACCTGTGCAGGCGAAATGACCAGGCTTTTCTGGGGACCAGTCATTTCCAGTAGGAGAAGAGAAACCAGGCAAACAGCTACACTTGTACCTCCCTCGCAGGTTTTTGCAGACTGAGTTAGGACCACATGGTGAGGGGCTTTGAGAACATTCATCTATGTCTGGACAGAAAAAGAGAGTTACCAGAGTTACAAATTTGCCTCATCTTGCATAGCAGGTTGTACTTCCCAAAGATGGTTGAAACAATGATTACCATTCCATATGCCCTTCATTCAATTCCCTTCAATTGGTACTCCTTCCATCAAGCAGGAGTGTCTATATTTTCTCCCCTGGAATATGAGCATCTTTGTGACTATGGTGGTGGCGACACTAGGTCATAAAAATACCATGCTAAGTCACAAAAATATCTTACACTTCCACCTTGTTCTCTTGAGATGTTCATGCTTGACTCGGTTGCCATATTGTGAGGAAGCTCAACTAGCCACGAAAAAGCAGTTCACATGCAGAAGAACTGAGACCTCCATCCCACGGCCTTGGTGGGACAGCCAGCCAGCAGCCAGCACCTGCTTACCAGCCACATGAGTGAGCCCCCTTCAAAGTGGGTCCTCTAATCCCTGGTTGGGCCAACTCAACAGATGCTATGTGGAAAAAAGTTTTCCTTACCAAGCTCAGCCCAAAAAGCAGATTCTTTCATGAGCAAAAATAAACAATTGCTTGTGTTTCAATGCACTAAGTTTGCTGTTACCCAGCAGTGGACAATCAGAACACTTTGCAAACCATCCTCTAGGATTTGCTCATCAAAGCACCCATAAAATTGTGCAGTCAGGGTACCACGGGGACGTCCTCCCCAAATATCCTTCAGCCCTACTCTGCAAGTCACCCTAAAGAAACACTTGCCACGCAAACACAACTTCAAGGCAAGTCTGCTGTAACGCCCTCCCAGCAAACTGCTCCTCTCTTAGCGAGAAATCTGGATCCATCGGCCACTATACATCAAGATAAGATCGCAGGAATGTTCATTCCACCTTTGTTTGAAGTAACGAAACATCAGAAAGACCTAAGTGTCCGTCAGGTACAGGGTAATCGAATCTGGAGTTGACATAAAGCACAAGGTGGCACGTTTTTTCATCTGATAAATATCTTCAATACTCACGATGTGTTAGGCACTATACTAGGGGTCAAGGACACAGAGAGGACAAAATCTGTGCTGGAGTATCCATCATTTTCTAGATGGATAATGTTGTTTCCACCCCGCCCTATGTTTTAAAGCCAGTGGCCAACAACACTACTGTGTTTACTGAATAACCCATCAATTGTAATCCACAGATTAAAGAAAAATGTTTGGGGCAGCCTGGGAACTATAATAATATAAATAAATTGTGCTATTCAGAACTCAGCAAACTACAGCCCTTAAGTCAAATCCGGCGCACTGCCTATTTGTATACATAAAGTTTTATTGGAACACAGCCACCTCCGTTCATTTCTGTATCATAAAGGCTCTCAAGGCTCCATCTCCTCATCCGTTTAGTGGAGACCGTCAGAATGTCTACACTCCATTTTATGTGAAAATGCACATAAAGCCCTTCCCTGGGGGCCTGACACTCCATAAACAGTAGAAAATTCTTATTATTTGCATGGAGAGGCGACCAGAAAAAAAAATTTGGTGGTTATTTCTGGATATTGACAAAGAGCATAATTTTATTTTTATTCTATTGCTAATCTCTAGCATTGGAATTTTTATAGACCAGGGATCATTTTATACTAGAAAGAAATAAGAAAGAGAGACAAGACAGACAAGGGAGGAAGGGAGGAAGAAAAGAGAAAAAGTACCTGTATCTGCGGCTTAGCCAGCTTCCACCTGATTTTCCTACCCAATGCCGGCGTGGGGGAGGCGGAGCAGTGCGGAGGAGGCAGGAACTCACCTTTGCATTCCACTCCTGGGCCCCTGAACTGCTTCTGTCCATTGCTGGCCAGGAAGCCATGTTTGCAAGAGCAGTAGTAACTATTTGAAGTGCTGATGCAGGTTGCATACGCTGGGCACACGGTGGTATCTCTGCATCCATTCGGATCTAGGCGGCGTAGAAGAAAGATCTGGGGTTAGAGCACTGAGTGGGGCTGCAAGGGAAGCCAGCGTGAGAAGAGGAAGGTGACTGCTGTGGGTTGAATTGCGTCCCCTCAAAAGACATGCTGACATTCTAACTCCTGATCCCTGAGATTGTGACCTAATTTGGAAATTGGGCCTTTGTGGATGCAATTAAGATGTAAGTTAAGATGCGTTTATACTGGAGTAGGATGGTCCCTTAATCTGATATGACTGATGTCTTTACAAGAAGAGAAGAGGCGCAGAGACAGGGCGATCGCCCCGTGCAGACGGAAGCAGAGATGGGAAGGCTGCTTCTACAGACAAGGATTACCAGCAACACCGGAGAGACACTTGGGGACCTTGGGACAGATTTTCCCCTAGAACCTTCAGAGAAAGCACCTTGATCTCAGACTTCAGGCCTCCAGAACTGTGAGAGAACACATTTCTGTTATTTTAAGCCACCTGGTTTGTGGTCATTTGTTTCAGCAGCCCTGGGAAATTGACGCAGTGACCAAGCGTGCTCAGTGAAGAACGTGGTAGACCCCAGACCCTTGCTGCTCCAAGTGTGGTCCACGGGCCGGTAGATTCAGCATCACCTGGGTGTTTGATGGAAATGCAAAGTCTCAGGCCCTGCCCCAGGTCTACTAAGTCAGAACCTGTGCTTTAGCAACATCTCAGGGGACTTTTGTGCATATGAAAGTGTGAGGAGCACTGTCCTGAACACTTGCTATTCCAGGCGGGATCCACAGACCAGGAGCATCTGCTTCACCTGGGACCCCCAGGAGATCATGGGAAATCAGATGCTGATTCAGAAGGTCTGGGGAGGGATCCTGCAATTTTAACAAGCCCCTGAATGATGTTGAGGACGCTGGTCCTTGTACCATGCCATTAGCATCAGAGCTCTAGACAGAAGACTATGAGAGTCCAAACTGCAGCCTTTGGAGCAAGAGCGAGCTGGGTTAGCCCTGTTTTACCAACAGTAAAACTCAAAGCAGAGAATGATGGCTATCCCCGCAGACGCATCTCCCCCTCTTCTTTTTAATAGCATGACCATCCTGTTAGACTGCAGTCTGAGCTTCTCTTGCAGCTAGCTGGGAACATGTGGCTAAATTCTGGCCAACAGAAATAAGCAGAAGGGACTCGAGCACCTTTTGTGCAAAGGAAGAGCATGTTCCCCACCTCCCCTTTCCTCTTTCCTCTTTTACCTGAACTGGAACAGGATAGAGTGAGGGGGTCTATCCTTTAACCACGGGAGTGATGACTTGTTAAAACTCCAAAGGATGGAGAGGTAATGGGTCAGAAGACACCTGGGAGCCAGGATGATCTCTTAGGCAGGGTTGCCCTGTCAACTCATCTCATCTATGAGTTGGAGATTTATCAGAGGGAGAGAAATAAACTTCTAAGAAATACACTTCTCAGATGTTAGTATTCGGTTTCTGCAGAAACAGTTAAAACTGCATCCTATCCAGCCCAGCCCTGGGGCATGTGATCTCACCTCTCTGTACCTCCATTTACCTGTTTAGCTCTCACCCTCACATCCAGTCGGTCCCCAAGGCCTGTTGATCTCCCCCAAATATTGTTTGATATCTACCCGCTTCTCTCCATCTCCACACCAATGCTTGGTACAGATCTTCTTCTAGATCCCACGTCCCTACATCCCCCATTGTCCCCTGCAATCATCTCTGAATGCAAATGTGATCATCTACCCTCCGCCCCTGCCTATAATACTCTGATGCACTTAGAATTAAAATCCAACATGACCCACAAAGCCCCCAGTGACCAGACCCAACCACATCCTTATGCCTCATCTTGTGTCTCCCTTCACTCCATTTCTAGCCTTCCCACCACAGGGCCTTTGCACATGCTGTTCCCTTTGCCTCTGCTTTGCTTGACCAGCTCCTACTTGTTCTTCAGGTCTTGCTTAAATGTCACTTCCTCTAAGAAGACTTCCCTGACTCCCCCATAGCTCCCTGTGCCCCTTCTTTATGAAACTTATCACAATTATAATTGCTCAATTATTTGAGTGATTAACTTTTCAGTGATCATCTTCACCCTACTATGAGCTGAAAGAGGGCAAAGCCATAGCTGGGAAGAGATTCATCCAGTACTATCATTCCTATGGTTGGCAGAACAATGCCCCTACCCTGCACCAAAGAGGACCACGTCCTAACCCCTGGCACCAGTGAATATGTTACGTTACATGAATGGGGGAATTGAGGTTGCAGACTGGGGGGAAAAAGCCTACAATCAATAAATGCTGGAGAGGGTGTGGAAAAAAGGGCAGGACTGTAGTTTGGCACAGCCATTGTGGAAAACAGTATGGGGATTCCTTTAAAAACTAAAAATAAACTTACTCTATGATCCAGCAATCTCACTCCTGAGCATATACCTGGAGAAAACTATAATTTGAAAAGATACATGCACCCCAATGTTCATAGCAGCACTATTTACAATAGCCAAGACATGGAAGTAAGTTAATGCCCATCAACAGATGACTGGATAAAGAAGTTGTGCTATATATATATATACATATATAGCATATATATTCATATATATATATATATATGAATACTATTCAGCCATAAAAACAACAGCATAACGCCATTTGCAGCAACATGGATGCTCCCAGAGATTGTCATTCTAAGTGAAGTAAGCCAGAAAGAGAAAGAAAAATACCATATGAGATCGCTCATATGTGGAATCTAAAAAAAAATAAAGAACATAAATACAAACCAGAAACAGACTCATAGACATAGAATACAAACTTGTGGTTGCCAAGGGGGTGGAGGGTGGGAAGAGATAGACTGGGAGTACAAACTTTGTAGATACTGACAGGCATATGTAGAATACATAAAGACTATACTGTGTAGCACAGGGAAATATATACAAGACCTTGTGGTAGCTTACAGCGGAAAAAATGTGATAATAATGATAGTTTTTTTTAAATCAAGGATAACTTGATTTAAAACACATATATTTCTTTGGAAATACATTGATGTGACTTCTGTTTTCCACTTATATGGATGTGAGCCCCCTCCCCAAGCCCATTCTGCCAAAAGATTTTCTCTCACTCTGGAAAAATTAAGATGTCTTAGCAACCATGTTTTTTACCATCAGTTTACAATAGTGTTTTATATTTTGGTTGTGTATTGAAATATAATCATGTTGTGTTGTCAAAAAAAAAAAAGAAATCTTAGCAGCAGACACACAATGACAGCAAAACAGTATTGTTCAGGTTTTAATTACCAAACTGGATGTTGCGTTCCCAGCAAGAGAATAGTGTTGAAAGCAAAGCTGTATAAATGAATCAGGGGTTGGGGGTAGAGCTCAGTGGTAGGGTGCAGGCTTAGCACACACAAGGTCTTGGGTTCAATCCCCAGAACCTCCATTAACAACAACAACAACAACAATAAATAATAATAAAAATTTTAAAATAAGATGAGTCAGTTTCGGGGGTCTAACATACAGCATCGTGAGTATAGCTAACAATACTGTATGATATACTTGAAATTTGCTAAGAGATCTTAAAAGCTCTCACCACACACAAAAAAAAGAACAGTAATTATATGATATGATGACGATATTAGCTAATGCTATGGTGGTAATCATTTTGCAAAACATGTGTATCCAGTCAACACAGTGTACATCTTAAGTTTGCACAATGTTGTATCTTGATCATATCTCAAGAAAAACATTTTTTTTTCAGCTGCCAGGGTTGAAGGAGTGGAAGATAGAGTTTGCATTGAGCTGTGGTGTAGAGCAGACTCGGGGAGAGCTATAAGGGAAATGCCTGTAATATAGGAAGGAAGAAAGCTGCGGGGAGCTGATGGAGAGAAAGAAGGAGGAGGACTTCCTCATCTTCTGCCACCTCGCCCCAGGGTTAAAAGTCAGATGAGATGAGTCACCTCAGAAACTTCCAGATAGAAATGGATACATTTAGGAATGTCAAGGCTAGCGGCCAACTTCTCCCAACAGAATCTTGCTTCCTGCTATTGCTGCATCCAACATGATGCGGGAGCCAAGGGTTAGAACCAGCAGAAGGAGATAGCTAGCAGGTGGCCCAAGAAAACCCGTCCAGTTCGCTGTAGCCTGAACATGGAAACCAGGAGCTCCTACGTGGACTCTGGGAGATAAAAAGCTTCCAAGAGGATTGCTGGACAAATGAGATGGGACCATGCCCCACCAGGACAAAACACCTCATTGAGTCCACACTCCACAGCCCCGAGATCCCAGCATCCAAGCTGCCCCTATGCCAACACCCACACGCCATCTTGGGAGGAACAAGAGTAGACAGTTTGAAACAGCAACTCTTTATACAATGTAGACAGTTTCCCAGACAAGACTGAGCCAGGAAACTGAGACACTGAGAGTGCTGAGAACCTACAAGGTTTCTCCTCCTGGGTCCAACAGGAGCTTATGTGAAAGGTGAGGATACTTAACGACACACTGAAAAGTACAACTTTTCTCATACTGAGTTGTAGTTTGAGTCATTCCAACTCCATTCCCATCTTACCGGCATTTATCTTATTATGCATACCAGATAGTTTACAAAATGGCCTCTTTTGATTTTTAAGCTTCACAACACCCCAGTGAGATAGATCTCTTGTTACCTGTATTTCACAGCTGAGGAAACTGAAGATCAGAGAGGTTGTGTGACTTGCCTAAGGTCACACAGCCAGTTTAAGGCACAAAGGAAAGAGCCTGGGTGGGAACCAGGAGACCTGGATGTTATCCCTTGCTCGGCCACCGACTAGTTCCTAGCAAGCGTCCAGCTGCGGCTCAGCCTCCTAGGAGAGAAGAGCCTCCTCCCCACCACGCTGGGCATGTGAATTCTCTTTGTCCAACTTACCCCATGTCACGGATTCCAGTGGGGATAACGTGGACATTCCCCAGCTGCACACGCCACAATACCCTATGAAGAAAGATAAGAAAAAAACACCATAACCCATCAAGAAGCTCCTTGGACTCAATCTGAACAATTACGCCTGGTGTGGCCTCCAAGGATCAGCTCTGATGAGCCTACAAAACCCCAACTGAGTGACAAACCTAAGGCATTTTATACAGTCTTCACAGCAACCTTTCCCGCTTTCCTGCTCTAAGCTTTTTTTTCTTTCTCGTTTTGTTCGTATTATCTTCATTTTCTTTTCAAATAGAAAGAATTCCAGCTAATTCTCAAAAATACACACTTATTTATTTTTCTAAACACCTTTATTGTGGTACAATTCTTGTACAGTAAACTACACATATTTCAGGTGTACAAATTGATGAATTCTGATAGATGCCTACAACCATGAAACCACCACCACAATCAAGGTGGCTAACCTTCCCATCACTCCCCCAAGAGGTGCAATTTTCAAAATCCAAGTTTATCCCTCCCCCCCAGCACCTTTATGTGTCTGTGAGTCTATTTCTGCTTTGTAGATAAAGCTGCGATTGCCTGGGCTTAACCCTGGGCTCTCCTCCTTGCTAGCTAAGTGGTCCTTAATGCCTTTCACCTCATTTTTTCCTTTGTAAAATGAGCTGCTAATGACCCAGCATCAGAGGGATTTAGTGAAGACTGAATACATTCTCTGTTTGAGGAACTTAGGACGGTGCTAAGCGGGCAGTGGCTGTTACACTAGCGGCTTCCTTTCTGCCTGCCTCATCTTACCAGTAAGTCCGCCTCACAAGGGCGGGAACCACGTCTGTTTGTTCACCACTCTGTCCTCAGTACCTACAACAGCGCCGTCACATAGTAGGTGCTCAGGAAACCCACATCAAACCAACGACTATAATGAAATTCTGCCTTGACAGGTAAAGTCCCTGAACTGAATGATTTTTGTCAAAGTTTCCCCCGTGAAGGCGTTTGCAGTGTCCAGCCTACAATTATGATCTCCTGGCTGGACAGTCTGAGGCCCTCCTTTTCCCCTACAATCTATTTCCGGTGCAGGTTTCTCCCAGATCCCCCACTCGGCCTCACACTCACCCCAAAAGAGGAGGAACCTGAAGCCCCGCATCACGCTGTGTTCTGTCATTCAGAGTGGAGAACCTTCTCTCTGTTCCCAGGGTTTTCAATAGCAGAGGGTGTGCACAGAGGGGAAGGACAGACTCAGAATTGCACAACCCAGTCAGAGCACCACGGCTTTTTGCTGAGTGGCCACCGCTCAGAAAGACAGTGTGGTAAACCCCTCACTTTCCCCTTTCTACGCAGTGAAGAGAAGTTGTTCCGGCTGGTGCATCCCTGTGTGGGTGTTCCTACGCCCCTCTCTTCTGCCTTCCTGCTCACTTTTTTCTTTCCCCACCAACATCTATCTCCCGTCTTTCATCACCTTATTCCACTCCACCCAGTAACAGAGGGGTTTCTGCTACCCATCCCCAATGAAGCGAGCCCCAAACTCATGGGTGCCTTCCCAGCCTGTCCCATAAAAATAACCACCGTAGCCTTCAAGTACCAGGCACCGTGCTAGACATGTTTCCAATAAAATTTAATTTACTGATGTCAATAAAGTACAGATTCCTACCCCCACGCATTTTGTTTTTTTTAAATACAATAAAAAAGGAAACTGAGGCTTGCAGAGGACAAGTGACTTGTCCAAGATTGCCTGGACTTGAGATTTGAATCCAGGACCCTTTGCCTCCAAGATCTAGAGCTCTCACCATTTTACTTACCTTCAGCTCTCCACTATGTCTCATCACTGGACAGTGACACCCCCTCATTTCCAGCACTCACCCCCAACCCATCACACACACACACACACGAGCATGCTCCATCTCACAAATATGGTGGTCTAGGAATGTCTCAGTTAGGGTCTTCCAGATGCAGATGCTGAGACAAGGATTCTAGTAAGGTAGTTCATCAGGGAAATGACCCAAAGAAACTCCAGCCAGGGTTGGAGGAAATGAGAGAGGGAAGGAGAGAGACCCCACAGTAAATGTGTTATCAAGCAAGTTATCCAATACGAAACTGAAACTTAACCTGGCTAGGCACTTTGGAAGAGCACATACTTTAGAGTTAACCAAAATCAGGGATGAGGGGGCTCAGGTATTTACCCACCAGCTACTGTCAGTCACTGACGAGGCTTGTGCCAACCCAAGACACCTCAGGCTCGGCTTCCAAGCAGGTAGAATGAACTCCAGAGAGTAATCCTATTGATAACAAAACGCAATGGCTGGCAGATGTCGATCTAGTGTGCCGTGAGGGGTTGAGGGTCACAGCTGTGGGCAGGTACCAAAAGCATCCCCTAGAAGCTAAAAATGAGGTGCAGAGACCAGCCCGAGTTCTTGGGATGAAGAGCCCCACTTGTTTCTGTATTCTGCTTTTTGTTCCATGCAAGGTAAAATATCCACCTTGGAGTTATGATCACTGAAGAAGTTTCATTAATGGTTCCACCTGTGCATCCAGAGACCCTAGCTGGTGAGGCTGCAGTTAGGAGCCAGCATGAAAATACAGCAAAGTCTGCCAAGAAGAACGATAAACAGAGCTGTGTTATGTCTAGGGGGAGCACTGGATGATAAACACAGACTCAGGCACCAGATCGCCAGGGGTTCAAATCCCATCTCCACCACTTGCTAGTCATGCGTGGTCCTGGGCAAGTTCTCAAGTTCTCTATGCCTCAACACTCCCATCTGTAAAATCGGCCCCATGACAATAGGATCTCTTTCATGGGGCTGATGTGACATGCTTAGAACGAAGCCTGGCACAAAGAAAAAGCTCCAAGGCTTGGCTATTTATAGTAATAGGAGTCGGGGTCAAATCCTTACTCTGCAAGGTATCCCTGAAGTTATCTTGGGAGGTGACTTGCCTCTCAGGGCCTCAGTTTCTTCATCTGGAAAATGAAGATAACAATGGCCTCTATGCCAAAAGAGCACTGCGAAGGGGAGGCAGTGATGTGGGGTGGTGTTGCCAGTGGGGAGGGACTGCCAGGGCCTACACTGTCTTCTACAACCTTTGTTCAGTGCATTCAGGAGTGTGGCCCCTAGAGGCAGCAGACCAATGCAGCGGTCTTAATATATGTCCACAGATTCTCTGATAGCCTAATTTTCCTCTCTTTGAGTATGAGCTAGATTTAGTGACTTGTTTCTAAGAAAAACAAAAAGGAAGATTTGAAATTATGTGGCATCTGAGACACCCTGGGTCTTTCTTTCCAGGGTCATTCACTGTAGGGGAGCCAGTTATGTTGTGAGGATGCTTGAGCAGCAGGAAGGAGAAGCCCATGTGAGGAGGAACTGAGATTACAGCCAACAATTTGACTGTGACCTCATGAGACACCCTGATCCAGTTCCACCCAACTAAGCTGCGTCCAGATTCCCAGCCCTCAGAAACCATAGAAAAATAAAAGTTTGTTGTTTTAAGCTGTGAAGTCTTGGGAGGAATAATTTGTTACACAGCAAGAGGTAACTGATAGACTTAGAAACAATTTTCCCCATCTGCAAAAAAAAGAATATGATAATATCATAGGGTTAGAGGTTTAATGTGATAAAACCCTAAAATTCTGCCTGGCAAAAAGAATGCTCAATGACATCAGTTATTATGGTCAGCATTATTATCCCACTGTGCTAAATGGTCACAGCTGCTCATAGGAGACGTAGTGCCAGCAATGACTGAACTGGAGATGTCAGCAAGTTCATTTCATGTAGGACCTCCTAACGTAGGTAAAAGAGCTTAGACTAGACCTTCTCCACAGGGCAACAGAAGGGATTTCAGCAAGGGAGTAACGGTCATATAGGTATTTTACACTTGTGTTGTGTAGCATGGGTGTTAGACAGGATGTGGTCATGAGTGGGGACATAGGGAGAAGAGTGATGACATGGTTCCAGTGGAGATGAAGAGGAATTCATGAAGCAGGAACAAGAGAATGGGAGGACTGTCTGGATATGGGGGTGCAGAGTCTGAGACAGAAGGAGGAATTTGGAGGGTGGGCTTCAGCATCGGAGGGTTTTCTGACCAAGCTCACATTCCACACAGGGATGAGGTGGTAGATGAGTTTCCCACTGCTGCCAAAACAAATCGCCACAAACTTAGTGCCTTGAAACAACACAAATTTATCACATTAAAGGTCTGAAGGTCAGAGTCTCAAATGAGTCTTACGAGGGTTGAAATCAAGATGCCAGTGGGGCTGTGTTCCTTCTGGAGGCTGTAGCAGGGAGTCCATTCCCTGTTTTTCTGAGCTTCTGGAGGCTGTCCTCATCCCTTGGCTCCAAGCCCCTTCCTCCATCTTTAAAGCCAGTAGCACAATATCTCCAAATCTCTCTCTCTCTTTCCCTCTCTCTCTCATACACACACTCACTCCATGAATAGATAGATAAATAGGTAGGTAGGTAAGTAGGTAGGTAGGTAGATAGATAGATAGATAGATAAATAGATAGATAGATAGATAGATAGATAGATAGATAGATAGATAGATAGATAGATAGATTTCTCTCATTCTTTCTGTCCTCAATCTCACCCCTCCCTCCCCCTCCCTTTCTCTCTTCTCTCCCTTTCCCTTCTTAAAAGGACCCTGTGATTACACTAGATCTACACAGACAATACAGAACAGTTTTCCTGTCTCTAGATCCTTTTAAGTCATCACACTTGCAAAGTCCCTTTTGCCGTGTAAGATCAGGTATTCACAGCCTCCGGCGACTAGGATGTAGACAACCTGGTGGGGGTCTGGGGGAGCCTCATTATTTTACCTACTATGGAGGGGGTCTGGGGTCCTGGTGAGTGACTGAGAGCACAAAACACCAGCCACCTTCAAACCCAAAAGAGATGACTACAAAATTTGGACTGCAGAGAGCTTCCAGGGACGAGGGCTGGGGTAAGGGGAGAAGAAAGGGAAGGAAACGCACAATTCTAGCCACGTGGCTTGCAGAAGCTTAACCCCTAATGACTTTCCCGGCAAAGAGGAAATTGAGGGACGCTCAAGACTGAAGAAATCTGCCTCGGAGACATCACTTATCCTCAGTCTTAACGCAGGTGTCTTAAGGGGGAGGGGTGACTTCAAGGCAGCCCTACCAAACTTGATCATGTTCCCCCTGTACTCTAAACCTTCCCCATTACCTTCAGAATGAAGTCCAGACTCATGAGGGCACTCAAGACCCTGCCTAGTCCTATACACTGGTCCCCCTCCGGCTTCATTGGTTCCTCCAAAGCTGCAGTCATCCTAAACTAACGGAAGTCTCCTTTGGTGGACACTGTTGATGGCATGTCCAGCCACCCTTGGGCAGCTAGAGCACTCATTCCCCAGCTGCGTGAGTGTTGTTGGCTAACAGCTCACAGCTTCCCCTTCTCCAGAGAACTGCTCTTCAGTTCAAAGCCTGCAGAGCCCACAGCCGATAACTGACGGTCACAGAGATCAAAGCCAGCCCTCAGCCCAAGGCGAGATCAACTCAGTGGTGTTATTCGGGTTCTGGGGATCCCTATGGGATCAGGTGGAGGCTGGACTCCAGCTGAGACCACCTCCTTGCTCAACAGTTTCCTCCATCTTACCCTGCTCCCCTGATTCATCCTCTGCTAAACACCCTCCCTCAGTGAACCCCATGAACAAGAATCCTCATGGCAGAATGTGCTTCCAGGGGGAACTTAAGAATCCCTCCCAGCCATTAAACAGTAAGCTGTCTCTTGGCCCCAGGTTGACATGGGGTCCCTCACCCCATATCCTATGCATCTTCCCATGTAAATATCACCTCCTCCAGGGAGCCTTCCATGTAAATATCACCTCTTCCAGGGAAGCTTCCTGTGTAAATATCACCTCCTCCAGGGAGCCTTCCATGTAAATACCACCTCCTCCCCGGAAGCCCTCCCTGACCTCTCCTTCAGTGTTAGGGATCTCCTCTGTGTTCCTCAAATCCCAGCACTCAGTATGATCTACGCTTGTCTGAATGTCTGTTTCCCTCCAAAGACTGGGAACATCCTGGGGGCAGGGAAGGAATTTTGTTGGCTGCTGTATCCCAGAAAATGAAGACTCAAATGAGGAAGAAGAAAGAAAGAGGAACTGGGAAATCCCCTGACCCTGCTCTTCCCCCAGGGAGAAAATCAGAGATTTGAGTGGGT